TTTGTTTAATTGAATTTTGTTAAAGTTTTGGACGTTTGATTCCCATAAAAATTCCTGATGAAATTATTTGGCTCGATGTATTTGATTCTATTTTTTTGACTACGATGAATTTCCATGGCTCTTTTTTGTAAGGGGGACACAATAGTTTCCGCACTGTTTTAACCTTTCTCCAAGTAGGATGACCTCTTCGTGGTGAGAAAGATCTGCTTTTCGATATGCTCTTTCCAATGGTGTCTTTTACAAAGTTCAAAGAGACTTTCATGTGGCTTCTCTAGAGACCCACACATAAGTACTCTGGAACTGATATAATGCGTACCATTGGAGAGAGCGTATCTGAAAGCCTATAAAAAAAGTGTTTATAGATTTTTGGACTGCTGCTATAGCAAATCTCAAAATCCTTAGCTAAAATTGTGACTCTATGCTTCGACTTCAGCATTTCGTTAGATCCAACACGTTTTTGCTCAGAAAAACCTACTAATCGCACATCATTCGATGCAGTTTCTTTCGCTGATTCTGAATATGTCATTTTTATTAGATAAAGACATTTCTGGGCCGAGAAAAATGGAAACTATCTTGAAAAAAACAGTATTTTTGGATAACCTGCTGTAAGGTTTAGAAACATTTGTGCATTTTTGCGCATTCGTCATAGATGGAGGACATACAAAAGAACATTCTATGAAAGGTTGAACGAGTTTCGACTTGGAATGCGGAGAGGGTGCTCATTTCACTAAAAGTAGCCGTTTAGAAAACCACTTAGGAAAAAGTTTTTTTTCTCAACAATCTCCAACGGCAGCTTTGAACTCTTTTTTACTTTTTATATACCAAATGCTGTGAAGATTCATAATTTACGGTCCATTTGCTTACCAGAGGCTTCGTTTTTGGATAAACTTAATTTGTTCACTGATATCACTAATTATAGGCTGAATTTTGGGTAGCTGTTTTTCCATATTCCATGAACTTTTTAACAAAATTTTTTGTGCCATCGGATATAGCATGTCTTATATTGTTCACTATTTGAATCGCTTAAAAGTCGATTTCGATTTTTCCACCTAATGTCCGCCTGAATGCACACTGTGCTGTATATTTGAGTTTTTACTACATGGCTACATATCTTTTGTCTATGTACAGGCACAAACGCAGACGAACACACAGGGTGATATTATATTCGAGAAATCATATACCTATGAAGCTCTCAGTAAACTAGATAGAAAACTTCTGTACTTTCCATCCATATTGACACCAGGTAAGCGCATTTTTTCTCAAGCAAGATTTTTTAACATATCTGGAAGAACAAGTTTTGCTACAATAATACTCTGTCACAACTCATATTATCAAGATATTTTCAAAAGTTTTGATACGTTCCACGGTTAAGAGTAAAGATGACAAATAAATAACAATGATTTGAAAAAGTACCAGATTGGGGTTCCAAATCGGAACTTTTTAGACTCGTTCAGCTTTGGCTGGCAAAAGCTATAGGATTTATATTCACAAGTTATTCCTAAAGCGTCTGCTGCCATTATGTTTTGAACTGAAAGTGCTTCGGTATTTGAGAACAACTACAGCAAACAGACTAACTTGCTTCGTCTGTTAAGAGTTTTACTTATTTAATAAAAAATTTTGGTCAAAGATAGTAAAATCATCTTAAATAATCAATTCTGGAAAGAAAATAGATATCATACAAATATGCCTTATTTGTAGACTTTTCTTCTTCTTCATCTCTGTCATTGTGATCTTCTACAACAAAACGAAGATGACTTTTGTCTTTTCATTCCATACCATGTGCTGATTTTTGAACATTTTTTTTTCTGTACAGTCCTGATGCTTGGTTCAAAGAACAATCGAAGTTTGCTGTTATGGCGCAACCGACACTGATGCTGTTGTTGACTGCAGATCTGATAATTATGTTCTGCCATAACAACCAACTGGGGTAATTTTTAAACAATAAATGTTATTAGATAAATGCATTGATGGAATATTTTAAACGCTATTTCTTCAATTTACAATGTTTTTGTTACCATCAAATTGCATCCGTTATTATTTTCTACGTGATTTAATTTCGTAGAATAATAGTATTTCTGAGTGGTATTGACAAACATACAGAAGAATATAAGCTTCAATAAGCACAGTTTGTTCTAGTCGAGCTTTTATACATAGACAAAAAAGTAGTTGTTAGTAACATAATTATGTATCCTTTTTTGTTCTTTAAAATAATTCTTTTCTTGGTAATTCTTTTTTCGATTAACAAAAAAAGATCATTAATATACACATACTCCTATTTCTTTCGCTCAAAATGTCATATACTGGAATAAAATTATGATTCCTTTAATACCGTTCTTCAAAATATACTGTTATTATTGTTATCTGTAATAAAATAAATAATAATCGACTTTTCAGATTGTATACTAAAACGTTATCAAGAGTTGATAATAATGACTTTCGTAGTAAACACTTTGCTCTAGGTACCGGAAGAGCCTTGAAGTGTGTCTTAGCCCCTCCATACCTCACACGATACTCCAAGATCGGGTAACGCTAAAATATAAAATTCACAGAATGAAGACGTGATTTTTAAGTGTGTTAAATATGTTTTGGGGAATAATGGGGAGTGGAACGACGATAGCTGTTTTGAACATGTTCTTACTGACTCAGCGCGTTTTGCTTCAACCAATTGTTCATTTAGATATAAAAAAGCAGAAGTATTAATAAAGAAATTAATTAGTTCTGTCAGAGGCGACTGGTTTTACGAGGCAGTAGGACAAATCTCTGTAGTAAGAGGAAGAGGGAATGCGTGCAATATACTGTATTTTGTAGAGCAAAAAGTTCTTCATTTCTTTAACCAATAGTGGATCTCCAAGCTTTATTACGATGTCTGAAACATGAATACAACTGTCTCCTTGGGAGCCAGACTGTTGCTCGCCAGGACTTGCTCGCTAGGACACTTGCTCGCCAAAAATTGGAAATTAACTTGATTACTTGTACTCAAACGCTATATCCCAAATTCAACGGTTATAAGAAGAAAATAGACAACAAAAAACAGAACCTTCATAACGACAGCAAACGACCGATGCATTTTAACTGGTCATAAATATCTGGATGTGGATTTTCAACCAAATTTCATAATCGTTTGTTGAGTGTTTCATGCTTTCGCCCTGGTGGCCGGCTCCCTGACATAGCGTTAATTATATCCGAATGTAAATTATTTTCTTCTTTGATTAATTTATCTAAAAATGCCCATAAAGTTGGATGGCTAGACTGAAAGGCACAGTTTATTTTCCGATGCCATGCTTCGACGTTGTTGTTGGTGCGATGCATATCATTCTTGACACGGGCCACCATATTCCAAAACTGAATAGGAAACGTTGCTTCTCGTCTAGTTCCTCCACGAATTCGACCGATATAATTATCTTCAATGTAATCAAGAATTTGTTGGTAGTCATCACCAAGATTAGAACATAACGATTCAAAACCAGCTATAACCGCACTTGGTTCAATAAACGCTAATGCCAAATTTTATGTATATTATCAGCAAATGTACTATCTGTCTCAAAGTCTTGCTTGAAACCATGAGTCTGAAAGAGGATAAAATAAAATAAAATGTAACTGAAATAACTTATTGTCAAAAATACACCTTACTTGTAAAAATCAAAGAATATTTTGGCTTAGATGGAAAAAACAACCGCTAAATTCGACTCCAGGAAAACTGCCACCAAATACGTTCATCGCAGCTTTCTCAAAGTCCATCATAATTCGTTCTGGATTCCATGTCGGTACCAATTGGGCGATTTCGTTAATCATTTGCTGATAAATTTTTCCACTTTTGCCAGGTAACAGAATAAATGATACGGGTAATACATGCCCACGATAACTAGCATGAATTACGAATAATTTAAAAAAAATTTCTGGTACAACTTTAAATGTTTCATCAACGAAGAAATCCTGCAAAACAAAACCATGCTCAGATAGTCAACAGTTACTTTTATGGGACTTACCGTTGCATTTTCCATTATATTCTGTTGCTCGTCGGTAAAAAATATTAATAAGCGATTTGAACCAGGACCAGTATCTTTACGAAAAAATATTGTATCACGTGTTGTTCGATGATATTTATTTGGAATAATTGGCAAGTTGATGTTTGTTGGTGTGGATACAGCGTTATCTTCTTGTCACCAACGGCGGATGTTTCGTTTCAAATTTTCATTGCTTGGTAGCTGAATACGCACTTCATCCGGAACACCGATATTTGTTTGTGTTAAAATATTATGAGGATTTGTTTGATTCTGTTGTGATTCCACTTGTAATCGTTCATAGTACTGCCGAATTAGTCCAGAACGTGGATTTCCAGTGTGGTTTTCATGATCATCAACAGTCTTAATGAATACATTGCTTAAATCTGTATGTAATCGTCCATGGCAGGCATATTTTCTCGCATGTTCGCACTTCCAAAATATTTTTTCATCATTCCTTCGATCAATAATATATGAAAAGCCGTTGTGAATAAGTAGTGGCGCGTTCTTCGAGGTTTTAGAGAGAGTAATTGACATGATTCTTTTGGTAGTGAACTGCACTGGAACTGGTACCGCTTTTATAGGGATATAGCGTTTATCATAACTCATCATTTTATGAGACTCATCAATATGGGATATAGCGTTTATTATAACTCATTATTTTATGAGAATTAAATTAATTTCCACAAATTTTAACCAATTTATTGTTACACATTTCTTTTTGACGAGCAAGTGTCCTGGCGAGCAACTGTCCTAGACCCGTCTCCTTTTATGTGATTCTTGTTCGTTACAGTTCAGCTTTTTACAGTGAATCAATATCAGATAAAAAGTTACATAATCGAACTACTACATCGAAATAGTTTTATGAGGCAGCAGATATGGATAAAAGGATGAATCATTTGGAATAATATGATCGCAGGACAAATCTACGCTTTTTCGGAATTGATGAAATGGAAAATGAAAATACAAATGAAATAATATTACAAATTGCTGAGTGTATTGATATACCAGTCTACGAAATTGATATATCACGAAGTCATCGTGTCGGAAAATATAATCCTCAAACATCTACTCCTCGCCTGATAATCGTTCGCTTTGCGTCCTATCGTTCACGTGAACTATTTTATAAAAATCGTAAATATCTTAATGAATCAGATTACTACTATATTACACGAAGACGTCAGATTACTACTATATTACACGATATTACTATAGTACGCGAAGACCTTATGAGAGAATATCTAAATTTATTACGACGTTGTATTGAACCATCTGTCCTTCTTACATTCTTTATAAAAGATGGTAACACCTACTACTATCAAAATGATCGGCAAATTTTTATTCGCTTAGAAAGTGATATTGGGAAAGTTATGGTACAAAGTAAGATCTAAGTAGTTAGTTAAATTAATTGCAATATGTATATTGAGAACAAGGTTATAACTAGTGATGAATTATTATGCATGTTTTTGCTTAAAGTGTATTGCATTCTTAATTCAGTTTATGAGTTATTCTTTCTCCTTCTTCATTCCATTCATAAATATCTTATTCCCCATTTTTCAAAAATAAGAGGAATCTTTGTTATCTATACACATTCTGAACATCACTGTAAAAGAAAATACCTTTATTGTTTCATAATCTTGTGTGTTACATACTATCTATCATCATTCATGTGTTCTCAGAGTAAGATCGTTGAAGAGCATTCTAGTGTAATTCTGTACTATTATGGTTAGCACAACCAGGCAATCTGCTGGTATGACAACTCCAATGGAAATGTTGGTGCTAAATATGCGAAGCATAACTGCTAAAGCCACCAAACTTTTTAACTCTACTTTGACAAAATTTGAATTGCTTCAGGCAGTGTGTGACCAGTCAGACCCTGCTTTTGTTGCTATCACCGAGACATGATTAGACTCGTCTATAACAGATCAAGACATTACTATGAATGGCTGTACACCGGTTAGACCGTAATCGCGAAGGCGGTGGATGTCTCTTGTATCATAAAGACCATTTAACAGTAAAAAGGCTTTCTGCTGTTGAAGACAACCGTTTTGAAATTATGTTTTTCGAAGTTGTACTTCCTAAAATAGAAAATATTTTTTTTGCAGTTAATTATCGATCCCCGAGTCTTTCAAACGGCGAAACTGATGAGGATATAGAATTTTTAAGTGACACTATAGGTGATGTTATTCGAACGGGATCGTTTGACGTTGTAATATTAGTAGGTGATTTCAGTGCACACAGTGACGCCTGGTGTAATTCGCATCCAGAAACGGCAGCTGGCAAAAAGTTTTTTGAATTTTCTGATATTTTAAATTTCAAACAATTAGTGAAAGAGCCTACAAGAGTTAGCAAAGATAGAATGACTAAAACGGTGCTTGACTTGGTGTTTACTAGTTCAAGTAACTTCATAAAAAATGTAGAAGTAGAGGACGCTTTGTGCGTGAACTGTGACCATAAGATCGTCAGAGTTGTACTCTCAACTGACGCTACTCTATCACCACCGCTGACACGTAAAATCTATAACTATTCTGCTACTGATTGGAACTATTTTCGCTACGAATTAGTAAAATTGCTTAATACTATTGCAATTCTCTTCTATAACTCGACCTGTGTGAATGAGAAAGTAATAATGTTAGAAAATTGTGTAATGAATGCAGTAGATAAATTTGTTCCCTCGAAAACAGTCCGCATATTTTCATTAGACCAGCCATGGTTTACTCAGAAGTTAAGACAACTTTCTCGACAGAAAAAACGCTTATATCTAAAACAAAAACAAACGAATTCGTTTCGTTGAAAAAGCGATTTATAAGTTGGGGTACTTCTCTCGTTAGTCACGTCATATATAATGTGTACGCACGTTATATAACGTGAATAAGAAAAGAAAATAGCTATTTGTTGCAACTCTTTTTTCCTCAATAACATATAGTAAAACAAAAAGGCGTTTGCCGGAGGTCTTTATCTGTGACTAGTCAATTTACTTTTCTACTGCAAAGATGCTATGAAACTGATAAAAAGAATGAGTATAGGGCAAAAGAAATAAACACTAGAATAAACACAAGAAATAAACACACGAATAATTGTACTCTTCTTTAAAACGCATCTGGAAACGTTTTAATATGTTCAAGCGTACTGGGTTCGCAGTTTTCTAATTTTGCAAAACTTGTTTTTTGCGCTTCTGCCAAAAATTCGAGTTCAAACGCCAGTTTTTCATAGATCAAAGCGTGCATTTTCAATCTAGCATCTCCACAAATTTGTTTGAATCCATCTTCAAAACGTTTTATGTTCGGTTTTTTTAAAGTGGTCATAATTGGCATTGTAACATCAAAGTGTGCTAATAGTGGTAACGGGAGATCCGTGGGAACGGGAGATCCGGGCATCCATTAATCTCATTTCGATAAATTTCTTAGAACAGTTCTCAAGGTTGCTTTTTATCGTACAGAACTCACTTTGTGTTTGTACAGAAATGTCCTTGTCGATATTTCTCGTTGCTGCCTCTAATATCTGGTCTTGCTCTAATATAGCTACTCGTCTTTTCAGTGTAACCTGCCATGTTCTTGTTTTGCTCTGTGATACAGGCCATACATTTTGTTTTTTGTACTAATTTTATGTCAGTCCATTTTTCGAGTTGTCGTGTATCCCATAGCCCACCTTTATCATCGCGCCATGCTTCATAGACGGCGTCAGTATGGTTGGCTTGCATCTGTATTATTTTGTGATAGGATACAGGTTGTTTGTTGATGAATTTTATGTTTAGTGCAATGTCTTTCGATTTCGTTTTTCTCTCGATCTGACGAGTCACCATTCGGGAGTCCACATCATTAGCGAATCGTAGATACTGTTCATGTAAATTGCGCTGGAAATTAGCCTTAACTAAACGATCAAAAAACACGATTATTCTGGATAGATGTGCTTTTGAAATAGTCGACTGTTCGGAAATTTTTTTTCTAGGGCACATGATTTTAGATATTTCGGCGTTTTTGCCAGATTCTGTTTTATTTTTTCGAAATAAACCGGTGTTTGATGATCATTAAAATTAGAGAATAAATCCTCATGGTACTCAGCTACTGTCTATGTTGTTTTTTATTTTTATTTTTATTATAATTTTTATTCGCTTTTTTTTGAGGGGCACTGGGCTATGTATACTGTTGATCTTGAAATATTAGATCTTCATCATAATCGTCTTGAATTGACCGTACCGCCTCTTTACTAATCGCCTGATTCGGATTATTTGGATATCTATAATCCGGATTATTAGGAGTATTCCGATCAGTGTTACTGAGTTTATTACGATGCGATTGGTTGCCGATTTTATTTAAATATGCTTGATACTGATTACTGTCATTGCGATAATGTTGATTCTGAAACGAGTTTTTTAACGTATTGCTATTATTACTTGTGACCGGATTATTATTTTGCCGATCCTGAAATGACATAGATATATTATTTCTGTATAAAGCAGTCGGATTGCCTTTATTCAAAGGGCCATTATTTTGTTGTTGTTGTGGTTGCTGCCGTATAGGTAACTGATACTGCTGAGGCACGTAATTATACAAGATAGGTGCCGCGGGTGGGTTATAACTATTATTGTTATAGTAACCTCGTCCTCGGCCTCTACCTCTTCCGCGACCGTTACTTCTGCCTCGATTACCTCTAAGATAGGGTCGGTTTTGATTCGTGAAAGTTCTAGGTTGCTGTGGGTACCCCGGGTCAGAATTATCTTCTTCTTGCAGTCGCTGTCTCTGCCCGTAGCCTTGTTGTTTTTGCATATGTGTAGATTTATGATTACCGTCATCACGTAGTTGTTGCACTCGCCCATAACTCTGGGGAGGCACGTCTCGTGCTGCGATAGTCGGTCTCTCGAAAATATCCTCTATACAGCAAACGCTGTTATTTTCGCTATTATTTTCGTCATCAGATTGATATTCTAATTGTGAATAAAAACTGTTTAGTCTTTGACCTGGTTGATGCGGTGATCTTGGGTCTCAATTCTCCGTTGGATCCCAGTTCCCTTCTTGACCTCCTGCAAATAAGGTGGTTAAATCTGTAGTTTTTTCAAATCTTATCGCTGAATCTGTAGTAGGCTGAGCATTTTCTGTAGCCATCTTTATTTTGTACTAAAAGTGTCTTTGCAAATTGATAAGATACTGAAAAAATATTTGTTTGTTTAAATATCACTTGAAGGAAAAGAAAACGAACTAAAAAGAACGGCTGTCTAAGATAGAACTTGCTCGTGTGACGCGTTTCACTCCGGCTCACGAGGATCTTCAGGCGTTGATCATAATCTAAAATTACATTAAAAATTCGGTGTAAAACAGAGAGCCTAAAAATGAAATCACAATTAGATAGATAGAGAAAATGGCGATAAGATGAGAAAAAGACGATATATACTTATTGTCTCAGTTACAAGTAAATGAAGATAACAGTAAAAATACATATAAATAATGAATATAAATAAAAGGACCTTGAAAAAAATGGTGGCGTATTTCGTTTTTATATTCTGTAAAAGGAAGGAAAGAATTTGCTAGATAAGAATGAAGTAAACATGTAAAAATAAAAATGGATGATACGAGTGATGTTTCTTTTTTTCTTTCTCAGAGAAACGAAAATAAAAAAGAAACATATTATAAAACTATTGCGTGCGGCCTTACAAACAAGTGTTCGATGTCCGAGGACAACGTGTTATAAGAGTGAAGTAATATATCATATGGTACTCTCAGCTGCTGAGGAAACTGCGATATGCATTCAGAACGAAAAATAAAAATCATGTCAGAACGCGAAAGAAGGCATGCTACACAAGAAGAGAGGAAATATAGTTAAATATTTTTCTGTACCAAGGTTAAAGGTTGTCTACTGTCACCGACTACTTGCTTACGAACAAAATCCTAAATGGCTACTTGTCAAGATACTGTCATCCACACTACTACTAATGAGGGTATATGTGTTTTTTGCGCTGCGTGGGTTTGGTCGGGTGAGCATGACGCAGTGGTCCAGTATGAGTGTGGTCATGTCGAACACGAGGATTGTTTTTTCGGATGGGGTGACACACACAATTTACTATGTAAAAGGTGCGGGCGATTGTCTCGATTTTTATTGTTCCGATAGGTGTTGATAGCAATCTCTTGCTAAAAAATCGGTACGTTTTACTTAATTGTGTAATACATATATCTCATGTAGTCGTTTCTTGCCTTTTGTAGGTAATGAGCACCTACACTATACCTCGAATTAGACTTCAAAACAAATGAACTCATATTGTTCGTTTTTTATTTTTGTTTATGTTTATGATGTTAGTTGTTTGTTTCTGTTTTTTGAAAAGAATATGTATGCAACATGTACGCACTTCGAAGACATAGAAAATCATTCACAGCCCCGTATTTCTTCAATGCAGAACGTGTAGTTATACAGGGCGTAAGTGAACAGCTGAAAATACTCTGAGTACTCGTCTACGGGAGAACGGGTGGTCATACGGGTCATATAAGCATGAATTCGAAAGTGAAGAAGTAATGGAGAGTCATGAAGTAAACGAGATGGAAACAGCCGATCCGGATTGGGAAGATACGGACAAAGCACGAAAAAAGTACTATTTGAAAGATTTTTCAGAGGACTTTATGCGTAATGTTGTTGAATATGTTGACGAGACCAGAAAATCTAGTGCCAAACGTCGTCGTTCGCGGAAATCAATTCACCATGATTTAGAACTATTCCCGATCAGTCCTACATCCGTATGTTTCGGAAATATTAGTTGAAGCACGAGAAAAGGGATTTCTGGTTCACGATTTGGACATGCAGAGATCGACACTGATGATAGTCAAAAAATTGAAGTTAGACGATTTCCATGTCCGGTATGGAAATCGAAAAGTAACTAACTTTGTTTCACATCATCAAGTTGAAAATCGTGATGTTATTGAAAAGTCAAAACATGATTTTATTTTGGAATACAACAAAGTTTCGTCACACTACAATCCATCATAACACAGATCAGAAAACGCGTTGAAAAGGAATTGCATTCTTCACGTACTATCTCCTTTTCCGGTGAAAAGAAAACTTTGCTGCAGTCCAATCGAAAAATGCAACGACACACTCTTACACTTTACAACCAACTATTTCGCTAAATGGGAAGCTTTTAGAAACAATTTATTTGTATTTACAGGAGCCAGAGGTTGTAAGCTACACGTTAACTGAATATTTTCAAACAGCTTCCATTCACTTTGTTCCCTATATTTTAGGAAAAATGAGAACAAGTGAAAAAGCATTTATTTCGAGGGTTGTCTACTCTAGGTAGGGAATGATATTCAGATCCGAGAAATCCTGCAAGTCCCCATCTACCCCTCAAACACACGTGTATCTATACATCTATATATATATACATATACACATCCATATAAATATATATGTATATATACATATTCCAGGATATACACATATATATATACATATATATCTAATGCTATGAGGATTTCAAGATTTCAGGATTTCAGGATTTCAAGATTTCAGAACTATACATTACGTATATATCTAATGCTATGAGGATTTCAGCATTTCAGGATTTCAAGATTTCAGAACTATGCACTATACATTACGTATATATCTATATAAAAAAATGAAAAGAAGGACATATACGTCGTATCTCCATGAAGCCTAGCTACAATGTTCGTACGTACTACATATAACGTGAATAAGAAAACAAAATAGAAAAGAAAAAAGAAAAGAAAATCGCTATTTGCAGCTCTATTGTATAACACACACATCTCATTAAAAGAATTTTTCCTCTTCGCTTTTCTCTTCTTTACGTCTGCACAGACACATAATATACGTCAACTACCGATAGTGACATAAATTTCAGAAATCCCTACATTTCATGGACTTCAATATCAC